CGCCGCGAACGCCGAAAGGACGTTGTGGACGCACGCCGACTTGTCGCTCGACGTCTGCGCGCTCGCGCCCCAGAAGAACGAAACGTCCAACTCCTCCTCCCACTGCGCGCACCAGCCTCGCCGTATCTTGCTCCACACCCTTGCGAGGAGCGGCATGAGGCCAATTGGCCGTGCGCCGCCGGCGGCCTTCGGCAGGAAGACCACCATGACCAACCAGAGGGCGCCCGCCCTTGGCTGTTCCTCGAAGGCGTTCAGGAGGTCCGTGAACCTGTCCAGCAGCGGGGGCGGCAACCGCAGCAGCAGCCCGGGGTGGAACTGGTCCCGCCCCAGGGCCGTTCCCAGGGGGGGCGAATCAGCAGCGCGCCGCACGTCGTCGCTGGTTATCATGTCGAGGTCTCGCTCGACGATCCAGTCAGCAGGATGTCTCTCCCCGCGCCGAGATGCCTTCCTCCAGATGGGAAGCCGCTGCTTCAGCTCCTCCTCTAGGGCAGCCTGTCCCACGAGAGGGACGCGCCTCCGATCCTGTTCGTCGGTCTCGTAGACAACAGGAGGTGGCGCCGTGGGCCCCTTGGAGATGCGGTGGGCCACCCTGCCTCCCTTGCCGACGGCGGCGTCGGCGAAGTCTGTCCACGCCCGGCGCGCCTGGGCGGCAGCCTGGCGCTGCTGGCGGGCGCATTATTCCTGCACCGCGTCTTCCAACTCCTCCGCGCGCTCGATGAGCCCCCCGACGGTGAGGCCCTCGGGGAGCGGCCTGGCGCCGCCGCCGGCCTCGGCCAGGCCGCCCTCGCGGCCGCCCGCGCCAGAGGGCCGGTTGACGATGCCGTCGAGGAGGCCCTGCAGCCGCGCCCCCTGCTGCACCAGCCTCTCACACATCCTCGTGTGGCCGCGCCCCACGGCCTGGCGGTGCTGGTGCACCAGTCGCCGAAGGCTGAGCCAGTCCTGGCCCAGCGCCGGAGCGCGGCGCTCCAGCGCACGGGCCCAAGCCGCTTCCAACGGCGCGCGGCGGACGCGGCAGCCTGCAGCGCGCCCGCGGTAGCTGCTCTGGTCCGCCACGGGGATGGCGCGCAGCCCGCGCAACACCTTTTCGGCCTCCGCGAACCACTCAGCGGCAGCCACACCAGGGTCTGCAGGGAGGGCCCCGTCAGGCCAACTCCACTCGTGGCCCCAATCGCGGACGCCCCCCCACTCCCCCACTCGTAGTAGCCCTCGTCGTCCCGGCTCGGCGTGGGGAAGCCCCTGCATGGGACCTGCTGCCATGCCAGCGCACGCCCTCCCAAGCCGCGGAGGGAGACCTCCACAAGCTTGTGGGGACCTGCGGCGGGGTGAGGAAGGGCGCCAGCACGCGACTGACCACGAAATAACCGTAGCAGCTGCCATTGATGGTGGCGTCCCCCGTGGCGACGACGACGGCCTCCAAGTCCGAGGTAAAGTCCAGCTCCGCCACGTCCGCCGCCTCGCAGTTCCAATCGCCCCCCACGAGGAAGGGCCTGCCCTGCGCCAGCAGGGCCTCGCCGAGCTCACGCAGGATGGCCATGTTCGCCTTCCCGAGCCCCTCGCCGTCAATGAGGTAGCATGAACCGACCGTCACAGAAACCGACTGGAACACCACCTGCGCCAAGACGATCCGGCGGGCGCCTTCCACGAATGGCCAATCGATGCCACGCGAAGCCCAGTGGCGCGCAGCCAGCGCGGCCACCCCGGACGATGTCTCCAGCGCGCCAGCTCCTGTGACTCGCGCCTCGGCGGCCGCCATCCTGAAGCCAGCCGCCCACGACCACGCGCAGGCGGCCTCCTGCGCGCGCGGCCGCAGCCGCGTCTCTTGGAGCAGCGCGACGTCCACGTCGATGCTCAAGTCGTGCTGGAGCCACTCCAGCGCCCCTCGCGCGGAGTTCCAACTGCTGCCGTTGTAGGTGGCCACGCGGACGTCCGGCATGGAGTCCTTGGAGCCTCCTCCTCCGCCTCCTGCCGGCGCCTGCCCTGGAGGCCGTGGCGCCGAACAGCTCGCCCGGCAGCTCCTTGCAGCTGCGGGGACCTGATCGTCCACGCAAGCTGTGGGAACCGCTCTGTCGACGCAAGCTGTGGGAACCTCCGCATCGACGCAAGCTATGGGGAACCTCCTCGTCGCCTCCATCACATGCCCCAGGCCCTCCTCCAGCTCCAAGTGGGGATGAGGAAGGTCGGGGCTGAGAGTCCGCTCTGCCAGCGGCGCCGCCAGCAACTCCGCGAACCTGAGGGGCAGCACGACGATCGCCCAGTGCGCCAGCCGTAGCTGCATGTGGCGACCCCTGCTGCTCCTCCGGCGATTCCCCCCCCACGGGGTCCTCCCTGGCGCTGCGAGGGCGGAGCAGGGGAGCTCCCGCCCGAGTCTCCCAGGTGACGCGCCCGTGGGGGCGTCTCCACCTCTGGAGCAGTGAGTGCACCTGTCGACGCGGAACTCGGCCCACATGCACTCGAACCCGCGGCACCTGTGCCAGAGGCCGCATCGCTCGCCCTGCGCTCCAAGTCAGACGAGAAGCACCTCGACGGCCGAAGGGCGGGCACCGCAAAGCCCAGCTCTGGCCACCCAAGGTCGATCAGGTTGTCGCTCCAGTAGGACTCAAGGTTGGCCATGCCCACCCTGCTGCCGTCATAGGTGACCACGCGGACGTCCGGCATGGAGTCCTCGGACCTCGGAGCCTCCTCCTCCTCCTCCTCCTCCTGCCGGCGCCTGCCCTGGTCGCAGTGGCGCCGAACAGCTCGCCAGGCAGCGCCGTACAGCATCAACGCCGCCTCCCAATGGCCATGTAGTGGTTGCACTCGTAGTCGTAGGGACCTGCACTTCCAGCGTAGTGGTGCCACCGCGCCTGGGCAGGGGCGGCCGGTGGGCCGCCTGCGGCTCGCTACCCGCGGGTCCTGCTCTTGACCCCTTTGCGGACCACCTTGATGGTAGCCGCGTAGGTCCGGCGGGCTCTCTCTTCATGGCGCTTCCGCCGCAAAACAGATGCTTCAGCTCCTCCACCGGCGGCGTCTTCGTCGTCGTCCTCCTCCATGGCCTGGATGAGCTCGTCCTGCTCCTCCTGACTGAGGTCCCCGAAGGCCTGGGGAACGCACGAGCCAGCCAGAGACCCTTCTGGCTGAGACTGGCTGTCCAGCAGGGGAGCGCCACTGCCAGCGCCAGCAGGCCCAGCAGGCACCCCAGCAGGAGCCCCAGCCCGTCCTCCTTGGCCCGCGCCACGTTCGCGCTCCGCCGCGGCCTTGAGTTCATCGCGGAGCGAGGTGGCCATGGGTGCCCAAGCCTGGAGCTGGTCCTGCCCCCCGTGCTTGGCAGCGAGCTTACCGATGGCATCGCAGGCGTCCAGAAATCCTTGGAGCGCCAGCGCCGCGTCTTGCGGGGCCCCCCGGCAGCGGCAGGCTCGTGGACCGCCTGGGTCGCCGCCGCACGCTGCTGCTTGAGCTCCGCGATCTTGCGCTGCTCCTTGGCCACCTCCTCCTCCACCTCAGCGATCTTGGTCTGCTTCTCGGCGATCTCGGACAGCAGCACGCGCCGCTGGTCAGCGGGGCGGGCGATGGCCTTCTCCCGTTTGGCAATCTGGGCGTCCAGGATCTGGATCTGGTTGCCCATAGGCTCGGAGGCCAGCCGCTTGGCCCGGACCTCCTTGATGAGATCCTCCTTCTGGGCGATGAGCTGCTCCGCGCCCTTGGCACCGCGGAGCTTCTTGAGGTCCTCCACAAGCTCGGCTTCCTGAGCTCGCAGGGGGTCACCGCCATCCCCGGCACCTTCAGCAAGCCCCTCGCCTTGCCGCTGAACGCGGTCTTTGGCCTTGAGCGCCTTCTCCAGCTCCATGATATTCTTGTTGAGCTCGGCGACCTGCTTCTCACCCTTGGTCGAGATGGAGGGCGCCAGCGGCTGCGCCAGCTCACCGAAGCACTGCCCCTTGGCGAGGCCGCAGCTCGCGCACTTCTTCTTGTCGCCCCAGTTGACCCAAGCCACGCCCCGGCGGTTCGTGCAGGACTTGCATCGCCAGTCTCCAGTGGACCGCGGCGCCATGGCTGGCGCCCGCGAGCCGTGGTGCTCGTCCAGCAGACGCCTCGCGTCCGCGAGGCGGGAGGCGAGCCGGGGGCTCGCCCGTCTGTGCCAGGCGCGCAGCAGGAGCCTGGCCTGCGCGCGGCGCAAGCGCGCCCAGTGGCGCCACGCAGCCTCGGCGGCGGCGGGCGTTATTGCAGCGGGCGCTGGTCTCAGCGCAAACGGGCATGCGCGGGAGGATCGCAGGCAAGCCTGCGCCCCAACCCCCCAAGCAGCCGGCCTGAGCCGAAACTTGAGCCAAAATGGCTACGGAGGCAGAGGGGGAGGAGGAGGAAGAGGACGAGGAGGAGGAGGAGGAGGAGGAAAGCCACTGGGGCTCAGGCCATTTTGGCGGAGCACAGGGCTCAGGCGCCGCGCCCCCCTCACGACATTTCCTCGTGAAAGCTCCCGCGGCCAGGCCCGCGGCTGAGCATCAGAGGGCGCGCGCGACCCACGGCGCGCTCGGGGCGCTGCAGGGGCTCCCCCGAGCCAGCCCGGCACAAGAGGCAGCGGGCACAGCGAGGGCGAGCTCGCCTTCTCCTCAGCGTGTTCCAGGCCAAGCGCCTCCTCGAATCGCACCACAGCACGATGGGGGAGAGGCGCTTGGACATGCAGGCAGTGCGAGACAAGGAATCCTAACTCTCAGTGGACATGTTCTTGTGGCAACGTGTGGGCCCCTCGCCCCGATCCCACCAGACGTTCGGCCAGCAGACGGAGGGGCCAGAAGAAGTCCGCCAGCATTAGGGAGCTGATCGCGCAGATTCCAGTTGCAGCACCTGATGAGGCGATCGCCAACATCACGGTGTGGGAGCCGCCGCCGCCCGAGGCGGAATAGCTGAAGATAGACAAGCCAAAGGCCCAGTCGAAGCTCCAGAAGTTCGCCAATCTCCTCGTCTCGGTCCGCGACGCAGGGAAGGAGGATCCCGCCCTGGGGTTCGACATCGGAGTGCTCAAATGCATGATGAGCGCCTGCAAGGGCTCAGAGAACCAGTTGCATGAGTTGAAGGCCCAGCTCATCAGCGCCAAGGAAAGGCTCGGCAATATCCGAGCTAAGGTCGAAGAGCTGCTAGACGGGGAGGCGACGCTCTGCCTGATGGCGCAGAAGCTGCAGAACTCCATCCAGCAGCTCCGAGAAGCGGAGGACGCACCAGATCATGATGAGGACTGGTTGATGGCCCCGCCAGGAGGAAGCGAGCATGGTCTCAGGGCAGCCAGCAGTGCCCAGAGGCATGGGTGCAAGCGGCGGCTGAGAGGGCGGCAGCACAGGCAGAGGCAAATGCTCAGTCAGCCAAGGCCGCGGCGGAGGCGATAGCCAGCAGAGCGCCGCCGCCGCCGCCACCAACGCCCAACCAGCCCCTGGCGCAGATGCGCGCGTACCCGCCACCCCAGAAGGCGGCCCCAAGGGCAGCTTCAGGGGCGGCGCGCAGCCAGCCAGCCACGGCAGCAATGGCGCCGACGGCTACAGAGCCCGCTAGCCCGCGCACCGCCTGGCACAGAGGCCCGCGGACTGAGGGGCAAGATGGCCCAACGGCAGCGGCCGTCGCTGCGATGACGGAGCAGATGAAAGCCGCGCAGGCTCAGCAGCAGGCCATCCAGGAGCACCTCTCGAGGATGCAGACGGGCCAGAACTTCCACGCCTTCGCCCTGGCCAGGGTATTGGGAGTTGGCACCGGCGCAACGGCAGGCGATGTGCTCATGGGCGCGCAGACGATTCAGAAGGCACAGCGGGCGGTGATCTCGGGACTTTCGATCCCCAGCGCGAGCCCCCCTGACCTTCAGGGGTTGGCGCCAGAGCGCACGCCGAGGGGCGCCGCCCCGACGGCGCCAGATTTTGGCGCAGCCCCCCCTGGTGCAGCGCCAGCCACGGGGCCGAGGGCGCCTACACAGCGCAGTGCGAACTTGCCAGAGGCCCCCGCGGCAAAGACACCGCCACCGAAGAGACAGTCGGCATCGCCGACGCCAGCCAGGGCCCCCACCAGGTCGACATGATTCAGCACTTGCACGACATGATTCAATACATGTACGTGGGAAGCACAAACCTGCTTCCCTAAACCCGCACGTACCCCGATCAGACCGCATGCATCGGAGGATCTTCTTGAAGTAATTATCTTCAGAAGGCAAGTGCGACAGGCATGGCGTCTCTGGGGCAAGCGTGACTCCGGTGGTGTCAGGGGGCTGGTTACCGCGTCGCTTGAGGCGGGGGCCCCCCAGAACATCACCGATCTAGAGCTGGACTTCTTGGTTTCGGAGCTGTTCCAGGCTTTCGCCGATTGGGAAACTCAGATGTTGACGGCAAGCGAGCTAGCTGCCCACATGCTTGAGTTTCTGGTCAAGTCGAAGCCGGCCCCGAGAAGGGCCTTGAAGCACTCCCGCAACAAGCTGTTAGACGACCTCGCGCAGCAGTTGAGCAGCGCCAGGTCCTCAAACGAGAGTCGAGTGGAATGGAAGGTGCTATGCCAGCTGCAAAGGTTTGGGGGAAAGCGTTCCAGGTTTCAGGTCGAGGGGCTGAGAATCCGACGAGGTCCTCAGGGCGAGGTTTTGGCCACATCTGGAGATCTCTCGGAGGCCCTCGCTGATTATTTTGCTGTTGTTCAGAACGGGCAGACACTCAGCTGGGAAGAACTGGTGGAAAGATACGACGCCCTCCCCGAACGTGGTAACTTATACCCCAGGGAGTTGGACATGATCACCCCAAGCACGACATCATGAAGGCAGCCAAGAGAAGAGGAGCTGGGCCTGGCGGACTCAGCAACGATATGTTCCAGGTCGCTCCACAAGAATGCACGCATATCCTATTGCCGTTGTTCGTGAAGGTAGACGTGGCGTCCAGGGAGCCCCTGCTGTTCAAAGGAGGTTGGCAATGTGATCTACGCAAATCTGGGCCCCCAGAACCCCTGGAACACTACAGAGGCATCCTGCTAGGATGTCACACGGCGAAGTTGCACCATGTCTTCCTCAGAAGCAAATTGCTAGATGCATCGATGCACATGCTGTCGGTGGTCCAGCAGGGAGCTCTCCCCCAGCGCGGCACTGACACTGCATCCTTGCATCTTCGGTCGGCCATGATGGTAGCCAAGGCTAGGAAGCGCACATACCTGTCGTTGTACACTGATCTAAAGGCGGCATTCTATTCGGTCATCCGAGGGCTCGTTGCCAGAATGGCCCAGAACAGCGAGGACATTCAAAACACGTTGGCGGACTTGGAGATACCAAGTTGTCTAGAGCCACTATGCCATGCCCTAGTCGCCAAGCCTGGCGCTCTGGACGGTCTTGCGAATAAGCACCTCCTGGAAGCAGTGGTTGACGTGATGGAGTGCAACTGGTTCCAAGTACGGGGGAGCACCAGGGCTGTTTTCCCCCCGCCTAGGTACGAGGCCAGGCATGCCACTAGCGGACCTCCTGTTCATCATAGCCTTCGACCCAATCATAATCGCGGTCAACAGTAGATTAGGAGCTCTGGGGTATCTTCAAAAGACTAGGGATGTGGACCCGTCTCAGAGGATCTTCAGAGGTCGCGAGCACGAACATGTAGAGGAATATGTGGGATCCTGCCTTCATGGATGACCTCGTCAACGGCATCGAGCTGTTAGACGCTAGGCTCTGGAAGGAGGCGGCCATCGCCCTCGTCACGATTATGTACGAAGAAACCAAGTCTAGGGTGTTCACCATGAACTGGAAGGCGGGCAAGACGGAGCTCATGGCCTTCTTCAGCGGCACAGTCTCCAGGAAGGCCCGAGGGGAGTGTGCGGCCTTGGCCGCCACTGGTCTTCTCGCCCCTTCCTTAGGCGTCTCCCTGTGACTCACTAGAACCTACAAGCACTTGGGAAGCTATCAGGACCATCAAATTTCTCTGGGACCGGAGCTGACGCACCGATGCCACCAGCAGCGACGTCCTCTCGGTGCACTGAGGCGCACGGTTTTCCTTAGGAAGCAAGTCAATTTAAAAGCCAGGTTAATGTATGTTACTTCTTTGCGCACGTCGCACCTTCTGTGTAATGCCCTCACGTGGCACAAGTTAAACGTCAAACAGATGGCGACCCTGGCGCGCAATTATTTGCGCCCGTTTAGGTTGGCGGCTGGTCTCTGCTACGACTCTAGTTCAGGTAAGGCTGCTGCAGACCACAAAGTCTTTGTCAAATGTGAGCTCTTGCCCGTTGAGCTGGCGTTGAGGCTCAGGCGGCTGCGATTTCTTCCCGGGCTTCTCAAATCGGCGCCTGCTTGTCTGCTGGCGATCCTCGACGAGTTAGCTTCAGTGCCCGAATCATGGTCCGCATTGTGTTGCGATGACCTGTTGTGGCTCAGCAGACATGTGAATCTAGCCAGAGAGTTCTTGCCTTCAGGGCCCCCGGCGCAGTGGTTGTGGCTCCTGAGGTCAAGCGGCAAAACGTTTTGGAAGCGATTCTGCAAGCGTGCGGAATCGGCTGCTAGGGCCAATTTTTTGGACGATCAGCGTCATGAAGAATTCAAGGACGGGTGGCGGAGGTGTTGCGTCGCCAAGGGTCTTGCGCTCCCGTCGTTTCTGCGTCCGCCGTCGGCTCTTGCCTTGTATCCCTGCCTGGATTGTGGGGCGGTGTTGGCCACCAAGGGCGCGTGGGCCTCCCATCGCTCGAAGCGCCACCCCCGCGTAGACCCCGCCCCCAGCTACGTTTCAGGCACCGTGTGCATGGCATGCGGTCTCAACTTCCACACGCGCCTCAGATTGCTCAAATCACGTTCGGCATGGCTCATCGAAGTGCTTGGCGGACCTTATGGCCGTCATCCCCCCGCTGAGCCCCGAACAGGTGATGCTGGCTAAGGCGGAGGACGCGGAGCTAGCACGCACGCTCCGCGAGAAAGGCCACTATGCGGAGTCAGCGCAGCTGCCGCCTGTCCTCGCGACAGGCCCTAGGCTGAAGGGGGCGGCTGCCTCCAAGGGCCTCCCCACTAGCATGCCGAGAATATCTTGCCAACCCGTGTGTATCCAGGAAGAGATGCCCACTCAGGCGGCGGTCCACCTGCCCGCGGCCCCTGGCACTAAGTACAATATGATCCTCCGTGCAGCTCCCAGGAGTCAAGGCGACATCCAGGATAGAGCGGAGAAGTCCAGTGCCATGGCGGGCATGAATGTTTTTGTTCTGTCACTAAATATCCCCGAGCTTTTCCATAATTCCATCGAGGGATTTCACAAGGAACTGCTGTTCATTACTGATAGTATTCTAGCTGGGCGCGTTGTTGGTCTCTTGGCGGACTTTCTTCTTTCCTCGTGCGACCCTGCCCCCCGCTGCAAAGCCAAGGGTGGAGAAAGCAGGCCGTTAAGGAGCTGCGATGAGCCATGTGGGATTTCAGCCAGGTCGCCCTCGGAGTGGAGGCAGCTGGAGCTCGACAGTGCGTGCCTTCGGGCGGCACTGGCGCTGGCGCCGTGCGCGGCGTCCTCGGGCCTGGCGACCTTGCTCATTTTAAACCCACCTGCTCCGCAAGCCAATTTGCCTTGTATTTGGAAGGTCCCCGAGGTCAGGTTCCTGTGCTCCCTGCAGGCAACGTCTCCGACAATCACGCCGAGCTGCGTGCCCATTGGGGACCGTCAGTGCCTGTGCATGACTGCCGCGCCGATCCTGGCCCCTCCTGACAGCAGCCAGGTAGAGTTCTACGTTGCTGCTGTTATCACGCAGGCAGCCTCACAACGCTGTGCCCCCACGCCTCCTGGGGATGCATGGCTGGAGGCGCCAGTTGCCCATCTACACGCCCCGCTCGATCTGCGCTGCGAGTCGGGTTGATGCTGGCCATTGCTGCTCTCCTCGTCCCCCGCTAGACTTGCCGCCTATCTCACCGCTGACGTATGCACGCGTGGACACCTCAGACGTTGGTCCTCAGGGCCGCGGGAAGAAGAAGGAGGAGGGGGAGGAGGAGGGTGAGGAGGAGGGGGATGGGTGGGAGGAGGAGGAGGAGGAGGAGGAGAGGAGGAGGTGGACGAGGAGGAGGAAGAGGTGGACGAGGAGGAGGAGGAGCAGGAGGCAGGAGGGGAAGGCGGAGGATGAGGAGGAGGAAGAGGAGGGGGGGGAGGAGAGGTGGGGACGGAGGAGGAGGAGGAGGTGACAAGTCGTTCAACGCCACGGCTCTCGGGAGCACGCGGAATTGGGAACGAGTCTTAACGTCAAGGCTACCGCTAAGAACGATGACGTAACGAGTTTCGATTACCAAGGTTGCGATTGCGCACAGTGGCGTGGAACACCGCTTCCAACGCAAAGGCTGTGATTGCGCGAGCTATCGCGGGCAAGTCCTTGAAGCGCCCTTTCCGTTCCCGCGCTGGCCCACGTGGCGGAAAGAACCAGGTACGAGTGATGACGTTGTGTTTTCTTTTGGGGAAGGGGGGGGGGGGGGGGGGGGGGGGGGAGGGGGGGGGCGGATGGATGAGTGTGAATGGCCGTTCGGGGCGTGTTGGAGGCCTTTTGGGGGTTTCTTGGGCGCTCGCGACTGCCCGAGAGGGGTTCAATGCGGCCGAAGATACTTCCAAGACGCCCAAGAACGCTCCGAGAGAGGCTCCACGACCGCCCAAAACTGCCCAGGAGGGCCCCGCGACGCCCCCAAAAGGCGCCCACGGGGCGCCCCCAAACGGTAAAAAACGTGATTTGTCTTAAGGAACGCGTGCATTTTGAGCATGCGCGAGCTTTCGGCTTCCACGGCGTCGATGACGGCCCGAGAGGCCCCACGGCCTGCTCCAGGGCGGCCCAGGATGCTCCCGAGAGGATCAAAACAGCCCAGAGGGCCCCAAGACGACCCGAGAGGCGCCCAAGACTGCCCAAGAGGGCCCCAAAACGGCCCCAAGAGGGACCACGGCCAGAAAAGTCCAGCCTTTCGCTCCAAGAAGCTCCCAGGAGGCCCTATGAGGCCTTCAACAGACCCCCAAGAGGCTCCCCACGAGGCCCTCGGAGGCCAAAATCATTGGTGCCACTGCAAGTTCATTGCACACCGATGGACTCATGCATTGCAAAGCGTGTCGAACAGATTATCCAGCAGCTCGCAGGTCTCAGATCAGGAAATGATTGATTGATTGACTAATTGATTGATTGATGAGTTCATGATCGATTCATTCATTCATTCATTGATTCATTGATTCATTGGTTGTTCGATTGATTAATTGATTGGTTGACGACCATGCGGGGGGTTGGCGGCAAACAGAACATCGTCGTCACCATCATCATCATCAGCACGCTGTCCGTAGCTGTGTTGGCTTCAAGTGGTCCTTGGCCGATCGTTTCTAACCATCTCTGAACGCCTCTGGCCATGGCAAGTGGTGCCAGCAACGCCAATGATCCCATCCCGCTTGCAGTACCTGGTTCCAGAGCTGCAGGCGGTGATGGGGTCGTGGACAATGAGGCCCCCCCTCTCGCTAGGCCTGGTTCCAGAGCGGCGGGGGGGCGAGGGGGCAGCGCCAAAATGGCCACATGTGAAGTGCAACAGCTGCGATGCGATCGCCAAATGGAAGAAAATGCGAAGCGTGAAGGTATGGGGGGCGCTGCCAGGAGTTCATGACGGACCAGGACGATTCCTTCGCGTGGGTCTACACGTGCGTGGAGTGCCTGGCGAAGGAGCTCGGGTGCACCGAGCAGGAGGCAAAAGCGCGCATCCTGGGAGCCTTGGCGACACCTGCGTGAGTACGGGGGCAGAACGTGAAGTTCAAGGCAGCCTCCCAGAACCGCCGGGAGGAGTTCCCGGGCATGGGCCGCGAAGGCGTGTGCGCCCTGGCTCGCAGCGACCTGGTGGAGGTGCTCAAGCCGCTCGCAGAGTTCGTGGCCGGAAAGCTGATCCAGCTGAAAGCACGGCAGCAGGGCATCGAGGAGTACGACAAGCTTCCCGCGGAGCTCCGCGCCGCGAAGGGGCAGGACAGGGAGCTGATTATCATCGAGGAGTTGGGGAAGTGGGACCAGGTGCTCGAGAAGCTCAACGCGCCGCTGGCCTTCCTGGGCAAGGTGGACGCCGAGCAGATGTTCAACGTCGCCCAGTACTCCGACGAATGGGTGATCACTGACATTGGGGCGCTCAGGGCCTGGTACGTCTGCCTCCAGGACTGGGGCGGCCAGTGCCCACCGTGCGGGGCGGTCGCGCCGCCGAAGCAATGGAAGCGCATGTTCGAGGATATCGGCTCGTCGAAGCAGAAATGGCACTGCGTCTGCTGCCAGACGCGCTTTCGCACGGCCTACGGCATGCTCGTCGAGGTGCGCACCGAGGCCGTTTCCACCTTCATGCTCGCAGAGGCGCCCAACAAAGATGTCGAATACGCGCGTGCCATGTACCTGGATAAGAAGCTGAACCCCAAGAACCACAATGACCAATGGCAGAAGATCCCGGACTTCACGCCAATCGACCCCCCGCACATTCTGCGCCCGGCTGAGAAGCAAGAGCTGGCAATCACCGATGGGGTTCGACATGAGCACGGTCAGCAAGTTCGCGAACGTCTAGGGTGTGAAGGCAATGCCGAAGTGGGGCGGGGACCAGATCTTCAGCCTCCTCGAGTGAGATGCCGTTGAGAAGCCGCTGAACCCGAAGCCTCTCGCAGTACCTGGTTCCAGAGCTGTGGGAGGTGGCGGGGGAGGCGGCGAGTGCTCTCGGCGTGCGGCCATCAGTCATGTTCGACGCATGTCAGATTCATTTGATGCAGTCACAATCCTCGCTACAGACAGTTCGGCCAAAGCCAACGCCCTCGCAGTGCCCGGTTCCGGAGCTTCGGGGGCGGCGGTTGAGGCCTCGCGGCTAGTGGCGCATTGGGGCGGAGACGAAACGGCGACAAGGCAAAAACACATTGATTTTCTTCAGGTGTTTGAAGGGTATGGGCCTTGGAGGGCTCGGAGGGCACTTGAAACCGTCTCGGGGTCGCCTTCGTGCGTGTCGGACGCGTGTCGGAGGCCATCGCGGGCCATCTGCCGCTATCCTAGAATATATCGGAGGCCATCTTGGTTTTTCTGCGGCTCTCTTGGAGGCACCCTGGGCCATCTTGGGCGCCCCGCCTACCCGGCCCGCCCCCCCCCCGCCAGGTCGTGGGGGGGGGGGGGGGCGAGCAGGGGAAGGAGGAGGTTCGGGCAGTAAGAAGACGCGGCTTGCTAACCACCCACGGCCAAAAGGCTGGTTGGATACGCGGCACGAGGTTTCGGGCTACCCTGTGCGCCAGGGCGCGCCGGCGCCTGAGACAGGAAAAAAAGTCCACGTTTGGATGGCGTCGGGCCTGTTCCATTCATGTCTGAGGTTCCTGATGCCTCTCGTCTGCCTGCCTCGTCTTTGCGTTTGCGTGCCTCCTCGGCGATGCTCCGATTTGCAGTTTCTGCCAGTTGTTCCTCGCGGCCTGGGCGGCGCGCCTCGTCGCCGCGGGCGGGCGCAGTTCAGCAAGAGGAGATGCGCGCGCGCGCGCGCGCGGGGGGGGGGGGGGGGGCAGGGGGGGGGGGAGGCAGAAGGGGGGAGGGGGGAGGGGGGGCAGAAAAGGAAGATCAGGAGGAGGTGCGCGGGGGGGGGCGGGGGAAGAGGAGGGGGTGGGGGAGGGGGGGGAAGAGGGCGCGAGGAGGAGCAGGGGGGGGAGGGGGAGGAGGAGGAGGAAGAGGAGGGCGAAAGTGAGGAGGAGGAGCAGCAGGAGGAGCAGGAGAAACGAGGGGGGGAGGGTGGCAGAAAGAGGAAGAGGAGCTGGAGGAGCAGGAATATCAGGAGGCGCAGGACAAGTTTCAGGAGAAGGAGGATGGTTGTTCGCCGATATTGGATCGATTTTCGTTTTCAGAAGTTTTTCTTGAATTCCGGCTCTCGGAAGCTGTCCGCTTTCGGGCTCGGGGAGGGGTGGGGGGCAGCGGTGGTCCCCAACGACGGTGATCCCGCGCGGTAACACCGAACAGTGACCCCCAAGAGCGCCGCCCAACGGCGACCCCCCTCGGTGACTCCCCACGGTAACCCCAGACGGTTCCCCCCCCCCACCCCAACGACGATAAGTCCCAACGGTGGCCCTCAACGGTGACTCCAAACGCTGACCCCCACGCGGTGGCCCCCAACAGTGACTCCTGACGGTGGCCCCCAACAGCGGTGACCCCGAACGACGACGGTTCCCAACAGTGCAACGCATCTACGAAACATGTACGATACAAAACATAAGCGGAATATATAACACGATGCGAAGAATATGCAACACACACATGCGAAACGCACGCGAACACATGCGAAACACAAGCGAAGGCATGCGAAACACATGCGCAACATATGTGGAACATATACGGAACAAAAGATGAATCAGTTACTAAACGTATACGAAGCATATGCGAAGCATATGCGGATCATAAGCGGAAAATATACGAAACAGATACGGTACGCATGCGAATACATGCGAAACACGTGCGAATCATGTATGGAAACGGACGCGTCTCGCATTCGGTATGTGGTTCATCCAGGCCGCGCGATGATGAATCAGTTTGTTCGGTGGTTTTTCGGCGTTGTTTCAAGTACGGGGCGGGGGTGCCGGACATGCCTGAGTGGCAGGAAAATTCACGGCATCGACGTGGGCCCGCGGCGCCGCGCGTGGAGTTGGCTCTGCGGGCGCGCATCATGACGGGTAGGGTGGAGTCTCAGTTCAGGCGTGAATGGCGGTTTGGTTCTACGTTGTCGTCGGTCTTGTTTCAAAGTTCCGCGAACATGGCCCGGTCCGTCCGCTTGGCGGACTATAGAAAGGGCGGAGAGACGGAATGCCAGTATTCGCAAGGAGAATTCGAACAGGCAGCCGTGAGCATCGTAGAAGCTTTGCATGGTGCGTACAAAGACCCGTCAACCGGCAAGACCATGAAAGTTCGCGGAGATTTCACGAAGCTAAAATATGTGCAGTCGCTCGATGCGATGTCGAAGCGATTGGATGAGGGAGCCAGCGCAATCGCTCGCAAGATTGAGGGGGCGAACGAGGTGCGGACGCTCAGGAGGTGCGACACCGATGCTGCTCGAATCGCCCATGGGGTACCGTTATTTTTCACCATGTCCCCAGACGAGAGACGCAACCTGGCAATGGCGCGGCTGTCGCGGTCGCGAAAGAAGGACCCCGTGAATCGTAGTGAAGCGCGGGCGCGTCACGGCCCAACGCATGGTGGGTCGTGGGAACCGTCGCTGGCGCACAAGGGCGATCTCTCTGGAGATGCCGCGGCAAGAGATCGGGGCGAACAGGCGAGCGAGAACGGATCGGACACAGAGGGGGCAGAGGGTGACGACGACGTGGACATGGCAGTGCCTTTGGCGACGTTGGCAGATGCCGTGCCCGCGTCGGACGTGAGAAGAGCTGTGCTGGCTCGGGGCCCGCTGGCGGGCGTTGACGGGTTTCGGGTCATCGTGGGCTTTGTTTTTGAGCGCATCTTGGGCATGCGGTAGTGTCCGAATTGCCCGGACTGCGAGCGCGCAGACTTGCTTGGCAGCAACGCGACGGCAGCGGGCGGGTGCCTGGGTCGCGTGGACGGGGTGTGCGGCAGCATTGAAGCTCAGAAGTCGGCTGGAAGTGTGCACCTCCACGTGCAAGTCTTCGTTCTGCGTTTGCACTAGCATGCCCCGTTGCGCGAACTGCGACAGCTGCCGGCAGATTTACTGAAGGTGCTGGTCGAAGAGTACACGAGGCACAAGAGAAACGCGGGTCGTCAAGAGCACGCTGACGTAGAAGGCTGGCGGGGGCGGAAAACGGGTGTGGAGAAGGCGTGGCCCACGCGCCGCGAGACCGCAGAGCTGGTCGCAGCGCCGGAGTATTTACATAGCGGCCAGACTAGGGGGTTGGAAGAGACGGAAGGCGGCGGCATGGAATCAACGAGCGGTAATGGGAGAACAGGAGGTGAATATGAGGGCAAAGAGGAAGGGCGAACCTGGCTGCAGGAGCACCTCGGCGTCTGGGTGCAAAAGGGGCAGGAGCATCGACAGAACCACGTGCGCCAGGGGAGTAGGCGTTTGCAGCGTTGTACCATCTGGCACATTGTCAGAGGGAAGATGACATGACGCAGTGCAACAGCTTTTTGTTTGTCCCGCGCGCGACGTGGCCCATAGATCGCGCAGTGGTGTTGTGCCAATGTTTTTTATGTGAAAAACCGTGACATGCCGCAAGCAGGGAGGAGGAACATGACAGGGAGCTTGCACGGGCCCATGAACGAATAAAACCTGAACGGAACGCTGCCTGCGATGCTGAGCGGCGCGGTAGGGTTGAATTTAAACAGCGATTTGCAGATCCCGCACAGGTTCCCAGCGACAGAAGCGACGCGCGATAGTTGTGTGTGCGAAGAGCGGTGCTGGGAGACAGATCGGCCCATAGACATGGTTCTGGCAGCGCAACGAGCGCAGAATGCAGCAGCGGGGTATGCGGCGGACTATCAGTGCAAGCGTTGTGCCCCGTCCTTCAACGAGGTGAGGGAGATCAAAAAGGGTCGCCACGCGCTGGCGGAGCAGACGAAAGACAGGACCGCGGCGTACCGAGCGAACAGGCACAGGATGAGGTTTCTCAGTGACATGTACGGGAGAGGCGTGGTGCGGTCAGCGCAGGAAAGTGCGAATCTGCGTGCGTACCGAGACCCCAGAGACGTGACTGGTGCCGAGAGTATCAAGACTGCGAAGACAGCCATGATCCCAGGGGCAGAGGCCGCGCGCATGGCGGAACGGCTCTGTGCAGAAGGGAACGGCGTCATCGCAGAAGCGTCGGGGATTCTGGAAGCGGGCAACGAGAAGGGATGAAAAAAGGTTCGAATTGTGTCAAAGAGTCCAGTGTACTTGCATGGCATGCGCCCAGTGGGCGCTCCTGGTGCGCCAGACTTGGCCCACTTATCATTGCATGAGTTTTTGCGATATTGACGCGTCGAGTTGGCAGCATTTCCCCGCCACGGGGCAGGTCTGGCAGCCGCGGGCAGCAATGAGTACCAGGCGAAGCTGACGCAGTCCGGCACGCAGAAAGTCAGCACAGGCGAGCAGAGAGCGGATATTGACAAAAGCGGTGCGCAGGCCGGACCCCAGATGAAAGCCGGAGTGGATTGCGTGATCAAGGAAGGGTGGGGGGGTTATTCGTGGGCCTTGTTTCCAGATATTCCTTAACTGGAAATTGCGGGGCACACGCGGGTGCTGGTGCAAAACGAGCGCCCGAGAAACCCAAGTTTTCATAGGGCGCCGCGGCCGAAACACGGAGCGGGGCAGGAGGATAGGAACGGGCTCTTGTAGATGGTATATTTCCGGGCGTTCGCACTTCGTGACGATGTCGAATGTGGAGTGCCGCGCCTGCGGGAGTTCCGCGGAGCGCAGGGGTCCTGGGCGGAGGCATCTCCGGAGTGGTTGAAGGAAGGCATGCCATGTGAAGAAACAAAGAGGCACGTGCATAACTACATGAGCGCGGTGGATTTGCGACCAGTCACGGACGAAGATCTTGTCAAGCACGAGGACGATTTGCACAGCGATGCAGAACTGGATCCGAGAATTGTCGACGTGGTGACCAGGCGCAAGACGCGCGTGGGAGGCGCGTCCATGGAGAAAGAGGACAGGCGGACAAATCTAGACGCGGAGTGCGAAAAGGAGAAGAGCCGGGAGGCCATGGCCGGGGCGACGCCGCGCGGGGCGAGAGCACGAGTCGAAAGAATGGAAAGCGCAAGAAGCGCGGAGAGGACGGTGCGTTGAGGTGGGACGGCGCGGAAGTGCAGAAAGCGCAAGCGGTGGCCGCGGCGTCGAGGGCCGCAGCAGGAAGCGGCGCGGGTGGAGAGGAAGGTGCCCCAAAGGTGGTGGCGGCTCAGAAAGCAACGGCGTCAAGTGTGCGGAAATGGAGACAAGGGCTTGCGGAAGGCGGGTTAAACGCGGGACAGCGTAGTGTCGTTGAGAAGGTTGCAGATCGCGTGCTGGCACAAGAATTCGGGAGGTCCGCGAGCGGCAAGAAAACAAGCCAGAGTCATCCTGATATGCAGCCGCTCGCGTGGATGTTACATGGTGGCCCAGGTGCCGGGGGAAGTTTCGTCATAGGCAAGATCCGGAAGGGGCTGTTCGAAAAGGAGCTGGGGTGGACGCGCGGCATCGATTTCCAGGCGGCAGCGTTGCAGGCTACGAACGCGTCAGCTCTCGACGAGAATACGATTCGCAGTGCATTTGGGCTCGGCGTGAACAAAACAAAAGAGAAAGACGCGGCGGGCGATGCCAACGCAGAGACGAGAAAGAATACGAAGAACGAGCAAGCGGCGCAGCGTATGTCACAGTGGAAATGGCTGATTGTGGACGAAGTGAGCATGGTCAGCGCGAACTTCATTGCGGAGCTTGACTCACACTTGCGGTCGTGCATGTCAGCTGCAAGCCATCCGAAGGTGGGCGGGGACGGCGTGGCCAGGCCTTTCGGGGGCGTGGATGCGCTGTTCTGCGGGGACTTCTATCAATGCGCTTCCAACGTTGTTATATACATATATATATATATGTATATATATATATATCAAAAACCACGGACAGTATATCTTTTGGGGCGCTGGAGGCGAAGGGGCAGCGCAGGGAATGACAGAGTTGACGGAGTGCAAACGCGTGGAGGATCAAGACGACTGGTTTCTCGCAGTGCAGGACGAGTTTCGCCGAGGGGAGTTGTCTGAACGCACGCGCAACTTTCTTGCATGGCAGACCGGCGGATGTTCTGGGGTCGTGGGTGAACGGCGCACCGTTGCGCGGGAACGCGCCTTGTCTCGAAAACATAGAGAGAATTGCGAAGCGCAACGAGCTCGAATGTGACGCTTGCAAAGCTGAGCGGCAGAAGAGAATGCCCGTTGCGACGTCGCCAGAAGACGCGCTGTTTCGGGGGGGGAAATTCCTTGAAACTGTCGCCATTGATGCGAATCCGGACATTCGTTGCCACGTCGGGAAGCAGAGAGCAGTGCAGTGGGCGAAGGAGCGAGGAGAACAGCTGCTGCGGGTCGCAGCCAGGGATCGCCCTTGCCACGGGGGGGAACAGAGGCGGCCGTGCACGGTGGAGGATTAGATATGTTGGCTGGGGTACCACGACAAGGAGTGCGCAAGCTTGCCCGGCTGGCTGCCGTTGGCCAAGGGGATGCCGGTGGCTTTGGGTGATCACTTGGGTCGGTCAAAGAAGCAGCTTCTGCGGGGCCGCACAGCGACGATCCATGGATGGGCGTTGCACGAGGATGAGGTCGTTGGAGATAAAGAAGAGGAAGCATTGATGCATCTGCCGAGACTGATTGTGTTGGACTTCCATACGAAAGAGTGGAACTTGCCAGGGTGGTAGCCGGGGCTATATCCGATCTTCCCATCGAACGGGCGCCAATATGGTTCTTGGGCGGATATCGGAATCATCCAGTATTCAATGTAAAAACGCACGCAGTTCATGATCACCCCAGCTTTGGCAGCAACGGCGCACTTTGCGCAGGGCCGGGCCATGGCCGCAGTGATAGCGGACCTCGAAAGAAGGCGCGGCGCGAGTTGGATGTCAAGTTACGTCGTTGCCATCGCGAGCGCGGAAACGGGATAATGTGTTGATGTTCAGGCTTGCCGGCAGGAAGCCGTGCAAAGCGGGGAAAATGCCAGGCGCGCAGAAATTGTTGCAAGTGTTTCGCGGGGGGAATGTGACTTGGGATGGGTGGGAAGCGGTGCTAATGCCACGAGACCAGTGCGAGCGCTGCCGGCGGAGGTTGTTGGTAAGGGCGTTCACAAAGTACGAATGCCAGAGAAAAGGAAGGCCGGCGTTCTGCAAAGAGTGTTCGGAGGAAATGAAAAACGCGGACGATAAATGGTGCGCGACGTGCAAAGGGTGGGCAACGAAAGCAGAGGGTGACGACGCGGCGCGGCAAGTTAGCGGTCGGAACGCGGATGCGGCGGCCGACGACGGGGCTACGAAAATGATTCTAGGACAATGTACTGCGCGAAGTACAGCCATGTCAAAGCCAAGCAAAAGTTGCGGAAAGGCAGCGCGAAGTGGAACGAGGGCGTGGAACGAACGCGCCCGCGATGTACGAACGATAAGTGCTTGTCGCTGCATGGCGGAAAGGCGGAGATGTCAGAAGCTCCGAAGAAGCACAATACTGCGGGGAATAGGCTCTGACAGCAATGCGCGGAACAACGAGAGAGAGGTGGCGCGCCAGCGAAGTTCGAAGCGCTGCCATCGCCGGTACTCTTTGCACCAGTCCCGCGCGCGCTTGGCCGGGAGGCAGTGTTGAAGTACTGGCGCCAAGTATCAGAAGCGTCGCTCCCAATGCTCCCTCTTGGGGTCCAGCCACCGAAATCCCCCGCGGGGCAATGCGGAGGCAGCGAATCGCAAACAGAAAGCCGAGGCGGACGCGAAGCCGCTGACGCGCGCGACGTGCGGAGGGGCGTTCTCGGACACGAAACATCTGAAGCCTAACCAAGTGGAAATCATCGAAAGGCCAAAGGAGCCAAAGTTGCGTGCGGAGGCTGTAAGGACCTCGGGTTCACAGCCCGCAGTTGCCAGCCGTATCAGTGCAGCGGCGCGTGCGAGAGAAGGCTACCGAACTCGGCGTTCCCCGACCCGCACAATGTCCCGCGAGACGCCAAAAAAGGCACCCTGAAGTGCAAGACGCGCAAATGATGTCGAATCGGGCACGCGCGCTGGTGAGAAAAAGGAGGACGGAGACAGGCGAATGGAGATGAGGCGGAGGATAGGGGGGGCGACTCATCGAATATGACGAGGTGAAGCGGACCAGGAACACGAGGAGGGGGACGAGGAGGAGGGGAACGTGGAGAGGGTGGAGGAGGACGAGGAGGAGGAGGCGGACATTGATATGAGGCTCTGAGTTATGGTCGATGGGTGAAAAATTCTTGTATGTGTGTAGCGATTTCTGGTCTATGGGTGGGAAATTCTTGTATGTCTATAGCGATTTTGCGGCGCGCCTTTCGGGGACCTCTGGGAAACAGTTTTGAAGCCACCGGGGGGCCGAGGTGGACAAGGACGGTGAGGAGGAGGAGGAGGAGGAGGAGGAGGGGCACGCGGAGGAAATGAAGAACGGGGGAGACAGAATCGACGATTATGAGGATGAGGCGAGGGAGGAAGAGGAAGAATGGGCGATGGGCTTTTCGCGGGACTTTTGAAGGCAGTTTCGAAGCCTCTTGGGAGTCGTTTTGGGACCGTTTGGGGCCCTCTTGGGGGCCTTTTGGGGCTTCTTGGAGGCGTCTTGGGGGCCTCCTGGGGCCTCTTAGGGCCTTCTGGGGCCGTCTTGGGGCGGAAGGTTCGGATTGTCGGTTCAAACTCCCCCTCTGGGGCCCCTCGTGGGGCCGTCTTGGGGCCGTCTTGGGCCGTCTTGGGGGCCTATTGGGCCGTCTTGGCGCCCTCTGGGGCCGATTTGGGCGCCTCTTGGGTGCCTCTTGGGCCGCTTTGGAGCGGTTTTGGGGTGCTTTTGGACGGTCTTCAACGCCGTGAGGGCCGACAAGTCGTACATTATCAAAATGTACGTTTTCCCATAGGAATTTTCAGTTTTCAGATCGTAGGCCCTTCTGAGGACTGCTCTTGGAGGCCGCTTGGGCCGTCTTGGAGGTCTCTTGGCTCGTCATGGGACTATCTTGGGCGTCTTGGAGCGCTCGTGTGGCGTCTCGGGGCCCTCGTGGGCCGTGTTGGAGGCGTCTTGGGACCTTCCTGGCCCGTCTTGAGCCCCTTTTGGGCCCAACACAGCCCGTGAGTCGCTCGTCCCGGGCCCGGGGGGGGGGGTCAAATCGCCGGTTTGGGGTCCCTGGGGGGGGACATTTTTGGGGGGGAACTATCTCACACGCCTAGAGACCCACAATGGGTCGGCGGATCCTCAAACTGCGAAGCCTCCTCCCACGGCTGCGACAACGACGACGATGCGACGACAGAACGACGACAGAACGACGCCGACGAGGACAACGATGACGTCAACGATGACGTGCCGCTTCGCCCAGACAGGTTCGCATCGTGTCCGCCCGGAGCGTACACGGCGAGAGCATGCCCGGCCAGGCCGGCGCGTTGCGGCTGGCTTCTTCTGTTTTTTTATGTTTTCGGACTCTTTCGGCGGAGGCCAGTGGCTGTTGGAGGCCGTTGGGTTTTTTGGGCCATTAGGCGTCTCTTGGACGTTTTTGACTATGTTTCTTCCCGGAGGCCGTTGGAGTCTTTTGGACGTTCTGGTGTCTCTTGGCGGAGTGGTTGCGTGGTGTTGCATGTTCGGGGACCTTCGAGGGTGCCTGTTCTCTTCGGGTCTCTGGGCGTCCGGTGCCCTCTGGGGGCATCAGTGGGCCTCTGGAAGTTTGCGCCCAGACTTCGGGGGATTTTTTGTCCCAATGATCCTGTGGTGTTGGGTCCTCGCTTTGAACAGCGCCCAGTCTTCCTCCTCATCCCGCTGCCCCTTCCCTCCTCCATCATCACCGTCATCACCCGTTTCAGCACACCGCTCACACGTTTCGTGGCACCATAGGGAGCTCCACCTCAGGTCCCAGTGGCGTAGGAAGCTCCCCTCGGGTCCCAGTGGCGCAGTCCGCATGGCGGCGCTGCACCATTTTGACACACCCCTCACACATTTCGTGGCCCCATAGGGAGTTTCACCTAAGGTCCCAGTGGCGCAGTCCGCATGGCGGCGCCGCCTGATTTTGGCACACTCGTCACACGTTTTGTGGCCCCATAGGAAGCTCCACCTGAGGTCCCAGTTGCGCAGTCCGCATGGCGGCGCCGCCCTATTTTGGGCCACCCCTCACACGCTTTGTGGCCCCATAGGGAGCTCCGCCCTGCTCCTCCTCCACCCCCGTCGCGGGGCGTCTCGCCGATCGAAGTATGTTGGCAATTAACTTGGTCACGCCCGCGCAGCAGCAGGCCCCAGTAGCAGGCCCGCATGGCGGCCCCGCATATGGTTGGGTCCTTCGCCAGGCTAATTTTTATGGATCCGAAGCCGTTTGCATGTCTGATTCTTGCCGTACTAGTCCAGTGTTGCGAGTGGGCCCGTCCTTGGGGCTTTGTGAGGCCATCTGAGAGGCCTGGCTATTGGGTCGTCTTGGGGCCCTCTTGGGCTGTCGTGGGCCCCTTGGGGCCCACGTGTCTTGTGGGACGGTCTGTAGGTCATATTGGGCTCGTTTGGAGCCCTCGTCGTATGTTTGGAGCCTCTCTGGGGCCCTCTCATCGGAGTTGGGCCCTCTTGGGCTATGTTGGGCCCCTCTGGAGTCGTCTTGGGCCTCTCCTGGGTCTCTCTTGGGGCTCTCTGGGATGCCTTTTGGGCCACATCGGGCTGAGCTTGGGGGACTCCTGGTCAGTCTTGGAGGCCTCAGAGATCAGGAGACCGAGGAGGCCTGTGCGCGCCGTCATCGCACAAAGCTCACAAGGACGCTGCTCCATCAGTGGAGCTCCGCATGAGCACCTCGGGAAGTGGCCTCTCCGTGGCCTCTGCGCGCTCGTGGAGTCCCCCTCCCATCGATTGGGAAGCGACGGCGATCGCAGTCTATGCCTGTGCCGTTGCTTCTTTCTCTGCGGCGGCCTGCGTGGCAGGTTCTGCACATCCGAAGGGCACACAGCACCTCCGGAGCCATCAACGGGAGGTAGTCGGGGCGCGTGGCAGCTCTCGGCGGCCGCCGCAGGTGAAGGGGGGGGGGGGGACGCAGGCGCGCCCGCCAGCATGCAGATTGCTTCGGCGGGTGGGGAGGGGGGCTGCAGGGGACTGTCCAGCACCCGGACGGCCGCCGCCGCCGCCGTGTCGGGGGCGGCCAAGAGGGGGGTGATGACCAGAGGGGTAGCATACCATGTCGGGGGCCATGACGTCTCCCTGGATTTCATGGCACCTATTCTTATCTCAGTGCTTGCCCAGCCCCCCCGCCCCTGGTCCGCGCACCTGCCTCGCGCCATGATTTGCGACCAGGTTGAGGCTCTGAGCCCGCTCGGAGGCTGGGGTTGCCCGGCCCCGTTCTGGCCAGCAGAAAGGTGGGAGAAGGGGGCCCTCTCGGCGCAACGGCTGGACGCGGCTCGAAAAAATGTTCAGTTTCCACCCCAGGAGGGGCCTGGGGGCTGGAATTTACACGAGTTTGCCCTCATCCCCCCCTTTCACCAGATTTTCCTTGGGCTCTCCAGCTCAGGCCCCCAGGCAGCCTCCAGGCTGAGGCGTCCGGTGTTTCTCGTCGACCCTGGCCTCTTCGAGTGCAGGGTACGTCCACGCCACGAGCACGCTCGTACTGCGAGGGCGTCGGTTGTTGCTAGAAGTGCCCCTGGCCCAAGGTGCCCCCAGGATTCTCGGTTTGGCCCAAATGGCCTCCAGAGCATCCCTCACGAGGCCCAGGGGTCGCTAGGGTCTCAAAATGGAGCGAGAAGCTGGGGGCACCTTGGGCCAGGGGCACTTCTAGCAACACCCGAGTGCGGGCGCCAACGCAGCACGCGTGCAAACCTTCGCCGCCCCACCCCCCTGCAGGGGACCTCGAGGGTCGCTGCTGTTCAGCAGCACTCTGCTTGGCTGCTTTGTGGCCTTGCGACGAGGGAAATATGCTCGTGGATGGAACGCCCAGCCTCTATCGATTGTGATTGCACTTTTTCAGCGTGAAGCAGATCCGCCGACAGCGATGCTCAATCAGTCAATCGAGGCCTCTCCTCTCCCCTCCTCCCATCTCCTCGCCGTTCCTCTCCTCTCCACCCCCTCCTTTCTCGGCTCCACCCCTCTCCTCCCCATCCCCTCTCCTCATCTCCCCTCTCCTCCTCATGCCTCCTCTTCACCTTCCCCTGCTCCTCCCATGGCCACTTCCTCTCCTCCCCTCAACTCCCTCTCGCCTCCCATCTCCCTCCCTCTCCTGCAGGGGCGTTTTGTGCTCGGCTGGACAAGCTTCCAACGGCGTGCAAGACCCTCGCAGACCCTCACAGGAGCGAGAACAGGAGGTTGCTCGGCAATGGTTCCCATCCGAGGAGGAGTGGGGTCACAGTCGAGCTCGATGCCCTTTGCCCCTGCGATGGGCGGGGTCCTTGGCGGTCGATGACACAACCCCACCCCCTGCGGCCCGCCCCCCGCCCCCCCCCCCCCCCCCCCCCCCCGGCGAGGTGGGGCGGTGGAAGGCAGAGGCGCCCGGGGCGGGGGCCGCCGCCTCCCATCGGCCGCAGCATTGGGAGCTGGAGCAGCGCCCACGGGGAGCGGGGGAGGGAGGAGCAGCGAGGGCTCAAGGGGGCCTTAGGACGTGCTTCGATGCCAACGGGGGTCGTGCAGGCGCCTGCAGGGCCAGGGCTGCACTGTAGAGCTCGGGCTCAGCCTGCAGGATCCGTCAGGGTCCTGCAGGGTCCTGCAAGGCCCGACTGGCCCGGGTTTGGGTTGACCCAGGTCAGCAGGTCCCCGAACGGCCGTCCAAAGCCGTAGAGTCCAGGCCTCCCAGATGGGGCCCGAGAAGATGGGGTTCAGGAGCTGGAGAAGGACGTACACGGGCACGAATCCACGTTCGTTTCCAGAGTACGCAGTGCGCGAACGTTCGTATCACGCGGCTGGTCTCGCGGATTGGGGGGCCGTGTTCGTGCACGTGTTTGGGTTAGCACGTCCTTGGGTTCTCCAGTGGTCAGAGGGTCGCGCCGCATCGCCGATGCATTGGCGATGCGGTTCGATGTGGAGCCCGATGATCTCCACGCCACCGTCGCCGATGATCGCCGATGCACCGGCATCGGTGATCATCGACGATGCGGCGCGATCCTCCGACCCCGTTTTTTGTGGCCCCATCTTGAAGGCCTCCCAGTATAGTCAAGACGCTGATAGACGTAATATTATCCCCCAGGAATTACACAGAGGCCCTCTCCCCGTCCTCTGTCAGGGGTGGAGAACAGCGGTTCCAGCTGCGGAAGATTTGTTCCTCTTACCCCATGTCTTCGGCGGCGACGGAGCTGCGGCGTTCCAGTTTCTGCCGCCTGATCTAGCATTCTCCTCCTCCAACCCCCCTCCTGCCCTCCCTCTCCCCGCCCCTGCCCCTCAGGAGAGCGGCGGTTTGTTTCAATTTCTCAGTCCTGGACACTATAACCCGCACGTGTGGAGGACAATCGCCAGCAGGTACACCTTCTTTTGAACTGTTCTTTATTGCTGTGCCCTGGTCTGGACATGCGCCTCCAGCTGGCGGCACTTCTTCAGCCGATGTGTCGTGCAGACACGGCTTGATTGATTGATCTATCATTCGCATGATGTCGAGAGATTGTCGTGAGTGATTCTCGGGCGCTCAAGAAAGGCCACTCTGGGCTCGGTAGGGGGCTGTGGTTTCCGCTCCTCAGATCTAAGTCTGGCGGCCGGTGGCAGAGCCGCGCCGTGACCAGAATCGCCCATCCGTTCCTTTGTTCCACCCTCTTTTGTGGCACGGTGTCTGTGTGGCGCGCGCGTCCTGCACTTCACAATCGAGTGGCCAGCAGGAGCAGCAGCGGGAGCAGGAGAGCGAGGAGAGTGATGGGAAGTTTTGGGGCCGAGACGGAGACGGGAAGACCGAGGGCGAGGGGCGGCATCAGTTGCTGCCCATCTTGAGCAGCCTTTGCGGTGTGGAATCGTGCTCATTCTTTCCGTCTCCATTCTAGGGATGCCAACGGTGAATCATCGCCAGCCCTGCCTTCCTTGAAATGCCGTTGAGGCCACACGTCAGGCCAACGCTTTGCCAAGCTGTTGGACTATGTGTTCTCCCAGCCGTTGTTGGACCCATCGGGGGAGCGATTCGGAAAAACTGAGAGTGGAGGAGGAGGAGGCGGAGGAAAGGTTGAAAAAGTATGAGGCGGAAGTTGGGGGGGAGAGCCATGCACCCTCTTCGGTTTCGTCGCGGAGGCGTTGAGACCGCCGGACTGTTCCGTTTCCCCTGGGTCTCTTTTGAGGACCTGGCGGAAATCGACCCCAACGCCCGACGTAAAGCAGCTTGATTGCCCTTATCACCATTCATTGCAGCACGATGAGACATTCGCACTCTTCTCTCCCACTGAGGGCGATCGTGTCACGTGCCCTGCGGGACGTTGACGTGGTATGCTCGGGCCGCCTTCGCTGTGGGATGGGATCTGGTCGCCTCGGCCGGGCCTGGCTCGTGGGGGTTGGGGTGCGGGGTGACGGGGGGGTCCTGGTTGTTGGCGTCGCCTGTCTGTCGTGCTGTCCTTCCTTCCTTTTACCTAACAGCGAAGACTGATAGGTTTCTAGTGGTCTCAAAAGAGCTCACAGATCACTCCACAGGGGGGTCCGGGCAGGTGTTGGGGAGTTGCCGGGCGGCAGGGTGCCGGGCTCGTTTTTCACCAACAGTCACACACTTCGTGCTCTTCGACTTCCCAGAACTCCATTCCCAGGCCACATTCTGAATACCCGGATGCAACAGTCACACACTTCGTGTTCTTCGAGATCCCAGAACGCCATTCCCGGGCCACATTTAGAATAACCAGATGCAACAGTCACACACTTCGTGCTCTTCGACATCCCAGAACGCCATTCCCGGGCCACATTCTGGAGGGCCGGATGCAACAGTCACACACTTCGTGCTCTTCGAGTTCCCAGAATTCCATTCCCGGGCCACATTTTGGATGCCCGGAGCCAACTGTAGGCCACTTCCTGGTCTTCGAGTTCCCAGAACTACATTCCCGGGCCACATTTTGAATAGCCAGACGCTTCGTAGTCCTTCCGCCACAGCCGTGTTTGGTTCAGGAATTGCTAGTGACACTGCAGTCCACTGCATTCAATCGTGCCACTGCATTCACTCACTGCAGTCCACTCAGTTTCGATTGCAATGGCGTTCCCCTGGCCGTACCCCCATACCCAACGTTCATCCGCAGCCTCTGCTCCGCGAGGCTCGTCCGAAGTGTCGCCGCCTCGCGGTGCTTCTCAGCCTGCGCCGCCTCGCGGTGCTTCTCAGCCTGCGGAGGAAGGTGGACAGACGCCTGGTTCTGGCGCTGTGCAGCCTGCGTCTTTCACGGTCGCCTCGTTCAATTTCGGGTTCGAGCAGGGCATGATGACTGGTAAGCAGGCGGCCACTCACTGCGCTAACTTCGGAAGGGTGTGCGCCACGATAGTGGAGACCGCTGATGCTGATATTGTCTGTGGCTGCGAGGTCGGTGCGTTCCGTGAAGGCTTTCGCCGAGCAGGGATCAACGTGACAGAGATCCTCAGTAAGCCTTTCGGTGATGGCATTCGCTTCTCGGAGGTCGACAACTACTTGACTCTCTGGGGGTTCCGCGGTGCTTCTCAGCCTGCGGAACTGACTCTGTGCGAAGACAGCAAAGTTTACAGGCCTCCTAGCGGCCGAGAGATTGATGCTGTTATTTCACATTTTGAGGTGAACAAACCAGGCCATGACAAGTTCCACGTGGTGATCGCCAACATGCACATCGTGTGCGGCAAGAAACCGCCGACCATCCAGACTCGAAAGCGGACAGTTCGCAATCTCCGCTTGCACCTGGACTGCCTGGGAAAGATTCTTGAGAATCTGAGCCAGGCAGTCGTTCTGCTTGTAGTCGGCGACGACAACCTCACTTTCCAGGAGGCGCGGGAGGCTTACCAGCGCCAGCAGAACGACGAGAAGCTCTGGGAGGTCCATGCCACTCCGGCCGACCTCAAAGGCGACCACGTCGCGGTCTGCGGAGCAGTCGCCCGTTTCTGCTCCATTGCCGTTGGCGCGTCTTTTACGGATCGTGGCATGCGCAACGACGCACACGATGCGGTGGCGGTTGTGCTCACTCTCCCTGGTGCTATTCAGCCTGGGGAGAGCAAGAGGCGGAAGATTGTCGTCGAAAACGTCTCCGACGCCGACGTCAGCGTACAGGCGGACGCCGAGTCTTCTGTGCATTGGGATCGGTCGCCGAGTTCTACTCCTCCGCTTTCACCGACTTCACCGGGTGATCCCGACTACGTCGAGGATGTCGTTCAGAATCGCGCGAACGACTTGCACAGGGAGCTGAGGCAGCTTTGGGACGACAGGTACGACGAGGAGTACGATCCGAAAGTCCTCCATCATCTCAGTCTCTTGCTTTTCAAAAAGAGGAAGTCCACGGAGCCAGCGGACACTAATCCAGCTGGCGCTCCTCAGCCTGGCTCGGAATATGACGCGGCCTTTGCGTCTCAGGAGGAGACTGGCCGAGCCATTCTCTCTGTCCTTAAGCTTCGACATGACTTTCTGCGGAGCAAGAACATCGACGACATGCGCTACGTTCTCACGGAGCCTGAGCGCCAGGAATTGGTCAGAGTAGCTCGCGACCAGTACGAGCAGTCGCGGCAGCAGCGTGCGCTTCAGGAACGGGATGTCGAAAAGGGAAAAGCGAGAGGCAAGTCTGCGCCACAAGGGGGCCATGCGGTTCCGCAGGGTCCTAACAAAGGGCCAGGCGGTAAGAAAGGTTCTCACGGTGCTTCTCAGCCTGCGGGAAAAGGTGGCCAGGCCAAGGGTGCAGGTCTGGGTAGCGTCGCCAAGTTTGTGAAAGACCAGAAGCGTAAGCGGTGGCATCGCCATTTGCAACGTGTGGCCGGTACCAAACAGATCTGGGAGGTGCTGGCCTTCTCAGGGCGCTTCGACGTTGATTGGCTAACGCAAGCGTTGCAAGCTGATCACAGTGAGGGCCGTGATGCAGCAGTTCCCGAGGAAGCTCTGCGGCAACAGCGGCGCCGGCTGCACCACCAGAAGGCCGAGGCCATCGCGCGCTACAACGAGGGGGAGCGGCTTTCCCGCCATCTGTCTGCCCAGGCTGGCCAGCCAAAGCCGAACTTCACGCGCAGGCAGCTGGACGTGTTGCAGATGTTTGAGAGCGGAGCGCTGCTTCAAATCCGCAACCAAGCGATTCTGGCGTTGGGGCACGGCCGTCTGTTCAGGGCCGATGGCGACTACCTGGACATCGGCGGCAGCACGGGCGGTGGCTCCAGGCGCATCATCGATTCTTGGCAGCCGCCGGACTGGCGTGACTTCCTCCAAGACGATCAGGACATCTGAGTTTTGCAAGTCTCCCTGCCCGCGGTGCTTCTCAGCCTGCGGTCTGCCGCTCTCCAGCTGCGGTCTCGAGCAGTAGTGTTCGAAAGCATGCGAGTTCCTGCGGTGCTTCTCAGCCTGCAGGTTTCGCAGCTTGCGCTCTGCAGTACAAGTGCTTTTCAGCAT